AAAAAACAAACAACCAAACAGAGGAGGAAAAGGAAGAACTGGATGATTTCCTCCAGAAGAGGGCAGTCATGCACCATTATGGATGCTGACTGCCGGAATGCCATCAAGTCAACTTTGACGGCATTTCGTGTTAGATTATCGATTATTTCATACTGATAACATGATTACATGAGTAGTAGTTTTGTTGATTTCTTTGCTTTAACTCGTTGGTGTTTTTTTTTTTTTTTAATTTTGACAATGAGTGACTCACAATGTAGCGAGAGCGAACTAGAAAATTTTTATGATACAGAGAAAGAAGAGGAGGAAGAAGAAGGCAATAATACAAGACGCCAAGAACCTCCAGTTTCAGACCGCCAAAAACATCTGGAGTGCTTTCAGCCACTTATGAATTCATGTGGGTATCGAGTGGACAAGCTCCTGGGGCGAGGTGGCTTCGGATTTGTTTATCAGTGCATCAGATCAGATTCAGATGAACTTGTGGCTCTAAAAATAATCCACAGTAAAAACTCTGGCATTGGTGTACAAGAAGTACGCAACCTGGAACAAATCCGGGAGTTGGACCCAGAAATGAATAACTTTATCAGGTTAAACAGACATTTTGAGCTGGATGGTCATATTTTTCTGGAATTTGAAAAACTGGATATAAATGTCGACAACTTGGTTGAGAGACACGGGTCTCTTCACCTTGCCGACATTCAAGTCATCACTCAGCAGGTGGTGGTGGCCCTCGAAGCTCTGAACAGCATAAGGATGGTTCACGCGGACATAAAGCCGGAGAATATAATGCTCGTGGATCAAAAGCAAAAACCCTATAAGATAAAGCTGATAGATTTTGGAATTGCTTGTCATGTGTCCAAACTAAAATGTGGGGACATTATTCATATACTGGAGTACCAGGCCCCTGAAGTGTCGCTAGGTATTCCTGTGAACGAGGCCATAGATATGTGGGCTCTTGGCTGTGTCGTTGCATTCATGTACATCTCGGAAGACCTGTACACGGGGAGTTGTGAACTGGGGAAGATGGAGGAGGTAGTGCAGTGGCACGGCCAACCTAACGATCGCTTACTGAATATGGGCCTGTACACCAAGGACTACTTTGACAGAGTCTACGATTCCTCAGGTTCTGCGTGGAAACTGAAAACAAACTGCAGTTGCACACTGCAGTCCACGTCAAAGACACCAGTCCACCAGCCAGTCCGTGATGTCACGGCAAAACAATTTACCAGCCTTGATGACATTGTTACGACTCGCCCTGGAACTGCTGAGCTCGAGGACACCAAAACCTTTTTAAGCTTCCTAAAACAGTTGTTGCATATCGATCCGTCAAAAAGAATCAAGCCCAGGGAGGCTTTGAAACATCCATTCATGACCTGGAAAAGATTTCCCAGTGATCTCATTTTTGAGTCGTCTGCTAGAAAAAAGAAACTGCCGCAAACGGAAGATAATGCTGCACCTGTGGACAAGAAATCACCTCAATCCACTACCAAAAATGTTATTTCAAGCTCTGTATTTACTGCTGCTGACATCGCTAAAGCCAGCTCGGAAGACGCAACTCCGACCGAACCGTCATCTGCCTCCACTGGTTATGTTTCTGTTGTGGACCACAGTGACACTGATGAGGAATCTGCAGGTTGGACCAACATAAAACCAAAGAAAATATATTTTAAAAGGATTTCTAGATTCCTCACACATCTGTTCAAGAGGGGAGAACCATGCTGTGAGTCTCCGGGTGATGATGAAACTACAGCGTCAACTAGTAAACTGCAACCACATCCCGCTTCCATTACTTCCCGTCAACAATCTAAGATTCCAAGCAATGGAATCCCTGCTGTTGAGACTTCTCTTACCACTGATAAAACACCAAGTTTGACAGGAGTCAGAACTAAGAAAACGTACTTCAAGAGGCTTTCCGGATTCTTCTCACAGCTGTGCAAGAAAAGAACAGCTAGTAGCTGTGTGAAGAAACCAACTTCTAGAGCAACCATTAACATCATTTCAAGTGGTCCGTTTCCTACGGAAAGTCTTGCAACTGTTGCTGGCAGCGCTAGTTACGGCTCTGCTGGTGACAAGATTGGCGCAGAAGAGGAAGCGACAGATTATACTGAAGTCAAAACCAAGAGGAAGTACTTGAAGAGGATGTCCAGATTCCTCTCACCGCTGATCAAGACCATAACGTGCTGCAGAAAGGACAAAATTGAAGTCAAGTGCTGTAAAACGTCATCACCAGCCAACCAACCGGATGTCACAGAGTCACTTGTCGATATATAGAAACACTGCTCTGAACACATTGGTTCTAAACAAAGAGGCCCCCAGTGCAAACTTTTGTTTGACAGATATGGGCTGCGCCTCTAGGATCGGGCACCACAGCTTGATGGTGATACAGTTCCTTCGTCGTGGTTATCTCGGTGAGCCGTTCCTGTGAACTACCATTTCACTGGCATTGTCTTGCTGTATTTGGATTGCAGTGCTGCACAGGGTTGCGCTGGTACGCGACCCACTCTTTAAGCTGCGGAGACAGAGACAGTTTATGAAGGATTCCAGGTGACTGCAACATGGTAGGTAGGACAACTGCCTTTTACCTTGGTGCAGAATTTGAACATTGACTCTCAAGTCCTGAAAATAAAGAGATCTTACGGAAAAGATTGTGATGCAGACGAGGTGCTCTTTTAAGGCATTGTTCAGGTGTAAAAACACCAACATTCGTGCACTTAAACCTTTAACAAGTCCCGCCTGTTTACTGTTGCTCACACGGCGTTTCAGTGTGTATTGTCTGTGCATTTGCATTGAAGGTGTAAAAGGTAATCGGTTCTGACTTGAAGGGAGTTCATTTTTCTATTGTTCATTATCTACTCCATAAACATGTTCACCAGTATTCCTTGGTGTTAAATCAATTTTAAAAACCCTCATGTTTTCTGCCAGTCTGAACATGGGAATTAAAACCGGTAACTGGTTTGGACACCACTGGACTAGGACATGCGAATTAGGGCCTCAATTAGGGTATCAATACTTGCAACAATTGTATGCAACTCTTATTCATAATTTTTTTTTTCTGCCTTTTTGCAGTCCAGCACCGTCTCATGCTCCGGCTCCTGTTCATCCACCTTCTGCCGCTGTTGCTCCTACACAGTCCCAGGGACCCGGCCTCATGGCACAGATGGCGACCACTGCAGCGGGGGTGGCTGTGGGCTCAGCAGTGGGCCATGTTGTTGGCAGTGCTCTCACAGGAGCTTTCAGTGGTGGCAGCAGCAGCAGCAGCAGCAGCAGCAGCAGCAGCCCAGAGCCTGCTAAACCAACATACCAGGTCAGAGGTAGAACAGATAAGACGGATAAAGATTCTCAACGTGTATATGTAAACTGTAATAGTCTATAAATGTGAAGCTGGATGTGCAGCTGGCAAAAGGTCGGGTACAAACTGTTAGGTCTCAGGTCTATTGGATGGCAACATCTAAAAACACTATTTTTTAAAGTCTACAAGTGACTAGCCCTAAATCTGCATGTGTCTCAAACTAAGGAAAACCCAAGATGTAAACTTAATGCAGAAGGACCCACTGTGAGAATGTACAACAGGATGTTATGGGGAAGTACTCTATGTACATTTTCTGCTGATTTCTACAAAATTATTCTTGTGTTTTCCAGGAGCCACCCCGCCAAGTTCCTTCCCAACCAGGCCCATGTCACTATGAAGTCAAACAGTTCCTGGACTGTGCTACCAACCAAAGTGACCTGAGTCTCTGTGAGGGCTTTGGTGAGGCACTGAAACAGTGCAAGTTCTCCCATGGTGAGTTTGTAAGTTAAAAACGATAAGGAAAATAAGCATTAAAAAAGTAAGTGATTCTAGTCTGATATTTAGTAAAAGGAACATTGGAAAAAAAGCTCAATTTTAAAATATAAGCTACAAAACAAGATGGTAGAAAACAGGGCGCTAGCCACAATGAAATAATAACATGCTGTTTTTTTATATTTACTTTTTTTCCGTTTTCTTCCTGTAGGCTTGTCATCAGTAGTGTGAAGGACAAGTGGATGTCCTTCAACAGTTTCCTCTGAGAGCAGATACAAAGCTGCTTGACTGTGACACTGCTACTCAGGGAGGCCGAGTGCTGCTTCTATTCATTTTAATAATCAACACCTCATAGTTGTGTAAAATATTTCTACTAATGTACAGTGACCTGCTTGTAATAAATAGCAGCTTTTCATCTGTATGTGCTGTTTGTGTTTGTATAAATCACACTTGATCGATGAGCCTTTTACAGCAGATTTGTAGAGTATACTGTAGCTCCACCATAACTGTCTGAAAGTCCGATTTAGGTTTTCAGTGTATCTATAACAACACAAACGAATACATAGTGTATGTATCTGTCCATGTAGGTTATACTTGTTCAAACAACTCAGTGTGTTACAGATTAGATAAATGATAGTCAATTGTTTAAAAAAGCTTTAAAACAAAAAATAGAATTTCAGTTTGGGAATTCTTCGGTAGACTACATATATGACCAGCTAAAACGTGTACCTAAAAATAATGTGTGCAAAACTACTTTGAAACTCAAAAGCCAAAAAAAGGCAAAAAAAAAAGTTATCCACAAAAATGTATTCTGCCAAAAAAAGGAAAAAAAAAAAAGTTATCCACAAAAATGTAAAGGGGCAAACATCAAACAATTATGGTTAAATGGCTAAAAAAGTAACTAGAGCTAACTAAGAATTAGCCAGAGAACAAAAACTGAGTTTAAAAAATATTGTAAGACAACAGAAAGGTCGGAAGAAAGTCGCAATGAGATAAGATAAACGTAATAATTTAAAACGTGGTGAATTTAAGATTTGGCTTTGTTTGCAATTTGCACATTTTTAAAACATTTTTAATAAGAAACAAACAGTCATGTTTATCGGCATTTGTGAGAAATTTTAAAAAATGTAACAAAAATATGTATTTCTGTTTAATTTTTCGGGGACATCTATGAGCGGCTACAACCGGAAGCTGTAAGTCTACCTAGAGTGATTGACAGGCATATCCTCCACTCACGAACCCAGATGTGCAATCTTACAAAGTTCGTCCACTTCCTCTCTGACTCTTTGCCGTCTCCTCGTCGTAGTGACATCGTCTAATTCTTCGGTAAAGGTCGTTATTTTATCAATATGCCATTCGTGCAGCTGCAGACCAACATGGCGGCCTCCTGCTTTTCCGAGGACTTCCTGCACAAGATTAGCAGCTGCACCGCATCGGCTTTGGGAAAACCTCAGGACGTGAGTTACCCTGTACCGGGTCAGACCACAATTTTAGGGTCTTCTTGTACTCATCCTGGCATCAGGATTCCAGACATGAGTATTCCTTAAGTCGAATGTGGTCCTGACATGGACTAAGAACTGATGAAAGTGATAAATTTTCTTTTTCATATTACGTGGCTTTTTTTTAAACCTGTTAATGTACAGCAGGGTCCAGAAAAGTCCCACGTGACACTCCTCCTTCTTGCTCTGCAAATCAGGAGAGCGTAGTACCAGGACCGGATAATAATTATAAAGATTAGGAAAAACTTATTTCGGTGGACTTTCATTTACTTTTTTAAAATAAAATATTGTGCTTTCAATATTTTTAAACAGTAATGCAAGCCTACTGTACATCATATGGGAGTTCACACAAGGAAGTAAAACAATACTTGTTATTAAAATATTTATTTAACGTTTAAGGTTGTGTTACAGAAGGCTAAATTACTCCGTGATCAGTGTAAGAAAGTAAGCATAAAGCTACCAGGCTAGACAGTGATTTGAATCACCGAATGGCTAAACTGATGTTTGTAAATAATGTTGCATTTCTCTGTTCTTCCTTA